AGCGTGAACAAAGCATGTTGTGTTTTTGTCGATGAGAAAAGAGAAGAACTTTCATGAATGCACACCCTATCCATTCTCCTCACCCACAACCTGTGTGACGAGAAGTTCTATCCCTATCCTATCCCAAGTCAGACCGATATTGTTTGCATACCCGCAGTGCCATCAAGGCAATCCTAGTTTCCGGCGAGGTCCCTCGTTCTCAAAATACAACCCATGCACCATAAGTTTGATACTCCCAATCCCTGTCTCGGTATATCGGTCTCTCGGTATTGATTCTTCCTGTGTCTCGTCTGCGGCTGCTTCGCGAAGACGGTAGCAGAGCCGGCGACGGCGGTGGAGGCATCCACGGCAGAGACGAAAGCGGGATTTCCCTCGCGTCCTCGATGCTGAAGCCCTGCCTGGTGCTCATGTTGAGGCCGGTTTCCATCCCGAGGGTGGAGGTGCTCCAGTTGATGTCTTTCATCTCGTCGAGCTGCAACTGAGAGGGGGGATTCCTTTTCCTTTTGTCCCTTTTGCTGCTGTTCTTCCTCCGGCTTCCAGTGCAGTTTGTCAAGCACACCACGTCTGCCACTTTGTCCCAGAGACTCTTTTCGCTCCGAGATCGCTGCTGCGTAGTGGCAGCGGCTGGGGACGTCCCCCCCGTTTCCACTACCGTCGTCACCATCCTCTCAGCTTCTCACTGGTCCGTCCTTTCAAGACCACAGGCTGGCCTGTCAAACACGCGCCCGAAAAGACCGAGCACTCAGAAGCCAATGTACCACACAAGCCCCACGGATGTTCCTTGGGGATAGGCGCTGAAGGCTCTTTCGAGACCGTTGATCGCCTTGCGTCCCCAACGATGCACTCGTCTCTCCTCCTTGACTGAGTCACTGGTTTCCGAGGACGACGACGAGGACGAGAACACCGAGGCCGATCTCTTTGTCGAGGAACGGAAGAACTTGCGGGACCTGGTCGAGATGGATGATTGGGTCGCCGTTGATGCTTGGGTTGTCCTGCGTCGAGGGCGGGATCCTGGCTGTAATTGTGACTGTGGTATCGCGTGGGCTTCTGGGAAAGTTTGTGGTTGACGCTGAGATGTGAAGTGGGATGGGAAGGTGGACATGTATGTCATGCTTTCTGGTGTTCTTGGTCGTCGTTCGTGGCGAGGCTTTAATTGATGTTGATACTTGGTAGTTTCCGGCGTCAGAACCTGCGAGGGGAGTAGTTGGAGGGACTGATTCTTCGAACAAAGGTGCTCTATGCTGCGTAGAACCTCTTCGGGGTGACGATGATATATGTATCTCTGTGACCGGGTGGATGCGCCTGTCTTTTATAGTTGTAGTGTTACCTCAAATTCGGGGTATCACTTGTTACTCTTTAACCGTTAACCATACACATTCTGTTTTGTTTTTGTTTTTTTTTTGCCCTTTTCGACCCATAACATTCCGGGTTGTGGAGGGTAGAGAGCGGGGGAACACGAAATGATCTGAGATCCCAGGAAAAACAAAAAGTGAAAAAAATGACGGGATCGAGGCGTCTTAGGTCTGGCATTTATTATGTGTCTTTGTGGGTGACGAGCTGTCAGAGAGGGGGACAAGGGTAGCACATGTGAGCACATGTGAGGCCTGACCCAGCTCCAGCTCCAGCTCCAGCCCGAGCTCGAGCTCGGACAGGTTATCGCACCAATCACACCCACACTGACGGCTCACACTCCCGCCAGCCTGTAAAAAGGTGTGTGAGTGTGAGAGAGTGTGTGTGTCAGAGAGAGAACGAGGAGAACGAAGGAATGGAATGAGATGAGATGACATAAACACCAACACACCAACACACCTATACACGTATACGGCAGTAGGGAAGAAGCCATACTTTGGGACAAGGGATCCAACCAGCAACAACAGCTGCAGGGACAAAGCACGCCTCACTCGTTCAAGGTGGGAATTGTCCCCTGGGTCATGAACCATGGCACTATGGGAGGTAGGTTGGATCTTCAGGCCCATGACGAGGCACACGAGGCAAAAGAAACAATGTCAAAAAAAAGTAAGCAAGCAAAGCGGCCTGACGTGAGACCCAAGATCTAAGATCCCAAAACACCGAGGACAAAAATTCGCCTCCATGATTGTGATAGGTTGGGGCGGAGAAATCCTTTGTTGTAAGAAAAAGAAAGAGCAGTTCAGGATCTTAAAATGCTGTCCCTAAGGGCGAATGCTGAACCCGTCCCGGGGAAGGGGGGCACGTATGCTGTGGTGGGACAGGATAAGACAGAAGGAGGGAGAGAGAGACAGAGAGAGTGAGTGACACGAATGCGTTGTTCGTAAAACCCAAGGGCTTGCTATCAGGCCACATGGGAGGAGGACAAGGTGGTCCCCCTTCTTCAAAAACCCAAAAAGAGACATTCTCAGGCAAACCCTCCAGAGGACCCTGTGTAGGTCCTTCTGCCTTCGGGCTAAACATCAACATCATCCCTGGCGCCAATCGCCTGTACCCTGTTCAGTTCCCGTGATGATGAAAACGAAGGTGGTAGCTATCGTAAATATACTGCAACCACTCAGGAGCTGAACGCATATCATGAACACCTAATCAACCCCGTAGAAGAAACACTGGCGTAAAAAGTCAGGCCTCTTTGGAGACCACCCAAATCATCGAGTCGTCAAATCCAGATCTCACACTTGAGCGAATGTTGTTAAAACACCTGGTCTCAACAAGCCGCTGACGGCTGTGTTCTGGATCGTGGCAAACGAGAAGGACGCTGACGTTGATCGACAACCAGGTTCAAAACGATCCGAATTTGCACTTTTCGATTGGCTTCCCCCGATCCGAGAAGAATCCTGCTTGCTGGATGTGCGTTGGCTTCCCCGTCTTCTCGTCAAATAGATTAAAGCCAAAATTGGCTGCATGCGGCGGGGTGTAAAGGTGAAGGGACACGGCCACCTCATCGTTGGAAGGGTTGGATATCTTGTGCAACCCAATCTTGTCGGAGATGTAAGTGACTTCGTTTTCGTGGTACGTCGCCTCCTTGACGATCCGTGGTGGCATCAAAGCCCCATTCGACCCTGTCTTTTCGGTCAAGCTGGGCGGAAGGGCGTACAATGTTTCCTTGAGGCTCCCCTTGAGAATCTTCATCACACAATGTGCGTCCGCGTGATCATGTATCGGACTGCCTCTGCCCGGGTTCCAGACAATCACCAATAAGTTGGACTTGCCGTTTCCTTCGTCCACGAGGTTGCGGGTGTAGTTTCTGCTGAGATCGGCAAAGGCGTAATGGCGCCATTGGCTTTCTTGGGAAACGTATTGTTCCATGAGCCGTATCAATTCATTTTCATCCACATCGTCAGAGTTGATCCCTGAAGAAGGGCCAAGGACATCCGAGAGAGCTCGAACAAGGAGGTGGAAGTCGTCACAGGGGTCAATGCGGTTGAGCTGACCATAGTGGTGAGATGAAAAGGCCGGTTCAGGCTCGGGAAGGTATGGGCCTGTGGTGCTAGGTGGTTGCTGGTATGAAAGCATTTTCGACGATGTGTTATTGCTTGAACTGGTAGAACGGAAGACTGCGCAGGCCTTGAACAAAAAGATAAGGAAGAAAAGCGTAGAAAGGGCAGAAAGGGCGAAAAGTAGAAGATGAATATGGAAAATCGGCGAGAATAAAAAGGAGGGAAGGACGATCAAGGCGGTGTAAGATTGAGACTTGCCCTTTAGATAAGAATGCAAGTTGCTGCATGTAGAGAGTCGAACAGCGTGTAAGACTGCAGTAGATTCAATAAGTTTTCTCCATTCTGATACCCGGCAGACGCAGCCCTCCTGTCTCATGACCAGGGGTTGAGAGGAATCACAGCGACAGTGTGAATGGACGAGATCGACTCAAGAGATGGGCCAAGTGCCTTCAGGACCCCTCCTGGTCCCTCTAGGGAGCCGGTCGTGGCATGTTGAAACGTAAAATCTTTGACCTCGTATCCAGCTTTTGCCTACCTGTTCCAAAGACGGTGACGGGCAAGAGCGGGTGACTCGGGGTCATCGGCGACCAAAAGATTGGTCGAGCATGACGATCGAGATTAGTGGTTGGCCCGCTGAGCATGTTTAGAGTGGCGAGCCCAAAGCTTAAACGAGAAGGAGGGCCGCAGAGAATGCACGATACCTGCAATATGGGCTTTGTAGAGACAGCGACGGCGAGGTATGAGGTTGAGCGACGGTGACGATGACAAGGCTGGCATGCAAGGCTCTGATATATCCACTTCCATCTCTTGAAGAGCTAACAAGAACCCTTGGGAGCGAGACATATGGGCTATTTATGAGGATTGATGAAAAGGAATTGTCCAGTCTCGAGGCCGAGCGATTGCGTGATCGGGTCTGTGCTCTGTGAGTGGCTCAAGGTAGTGAGTGGCAAAGGGTAAGAATGACCAGCCTGATTGGGAACAGTGGGAGGAAGTTATACGAAGTACGAAGGAGAGATGAGGTACGTACCTGCCACGTGATGCTAGATGTCACCCGGCCATAGGGTCACGGGGCCTGGCTCGTGTGTAGGTGCCCAACGATAAGGAACACGCGAAAATTAGGGGAAGCACCAGGGGCTACCAAGAGGGCGCCGTGGCACCAAGACAACGCCCAATCCATTACCTCATCGGCAACCCCCTCACCTGTGGGTGCCTGCGCTCTGCCACGCCTACTAATGTTTTCTTTGCGGGGCACCCGTCCACACAATTTTTGTCTCGAACCGCCATGTGGTGGTGGTTGTACAAAGCCATTTCAACATCGTGTGCTTGATCATTTCACGTCGCACAGCGGTCGCAAAGGATTGTTACACAGCGTTCTCCTATTGTCTCGTTTTCGCTCTTCTCCGATAGCTGCCATCCTCCCATCCATCCTTCACCAAACACCAACTGTGGAAATTCGTTCCCAAATATCACTACCCAGAAGTCCTTGAACGCACCCCCGTCCTGCCTCAGCGGTCGTCGATCCTCAGCCTCATTCGCGTCCTCATCCCGGATCGGTAATTGCCCCCTTCGGACATTGCGCTTGCAAAGCCCACGATGGCTACCACCGTGGACAAAATCAAGGAGATCGAGGCCGAAATGGCTCGGACCCAGAAGAACAAGGCCACTTCTTTTCATCTGGGCCAGCTCAAGGCCAAGCTGGCCAAACTGAAGAGGGAGCTCTTGACACCGTCATCCTCTGGCGGTGGTGGTGGCAGTGGATTTGATGTTGCCAGAACTGGTGTTGCATCCGTCGGCTTTATTGGGTTCCCTTCGGTGGGAAAGTCCACCTTGATGAGCCGCTTGACAGGACAACACTCTGAAGCCGCTGCATACGAATTCACCACCCTCACTACCGTCCCCGGCCAAGTCCTGTACAATGGTGCCGCCATTCAGATGCTGGATCTGCCCGGTATCATTCAGGGTGCAAAAGACGGCAAGGGTCGTGGCCGTCAAGTCATTGCCGTCGCCAAAACTTGCCACCTGATTTTCATTGTCCTCGATGTGAACAAACCACTGACGGACAAGCGGGTCATTGAGGCGGAGCTGGAGGGGTTTGGCATCCGCATCAACAAGGAACCGCCCAACATCGTTTTCAAGAAGAAGGACAAAGGCGGCTTGAATATCACGAGTACAGTTCCCCTGACACATATCGACCATGACGAAATCAAAGCTGTCATGAATGAGTATCGGATTTCGTCGGCCGATATTGCCATCCGTTGCGACGCCACGATTGACGATTTGATTGATGTCTTAGAAGCCAAGAGCAGGAGTTACATTCCCGTAATATACGCCCTCAACAAAATCGATTCGATAACCATTGAGGAATTGGATCTACTCTACCGCATCCCGAACGCCGTTCCCATCAGTTCCGAGCACGGGTGGAACATTGACGAGCTCCTGGAACAGATGTGGGAAAAGCTGCAATTAAAACGTATCTACACAAAACCGAAGGGGAAACAGCCCGATTACAGTGCGCCGGTCGTATTGAGAAAGAATGCTTCAACGGTGGAAGACTTTGTAAGTCACTGGCCCGAAGCCGTCTGGAGATATTTCGCCCACTAATCTATTTTTAGTGCAATGCCATCCACAAGACGATCGTAGAGCAATTCAAGCATGCGATTGTATATGGGAGATCTGTCAAGCACCAACCCCAACGGGTAGGACTTGCGCATGAACTGGCCGACGAAGATATCAGTGAGTTCTGCAACGTGCCTGTCCTCAAATCTTGTCCCTGGCATGCTGACATTGCTGTTCATCTAGTCACTATCATCAAAAAGTGATGCAGTCAAACTCTCCATTCGTTTCAGCTTGCTAACCCTGAACGCCTATCAAAATCTCAACAAGATGCATTTCAGGATTGAGGCCGCCTCAAGGTTTGACACCATCAACCACGGACCCTTTTCCTGCTCAATGAGGCTAGATGCCTCACCCTTCCGCCATCCCCGCGTCTTCGGATCGAGAACATCACATTCCTTAGCCTGCGGTTGGTGATCAGCATCAGGGGTTGGGATTCTGCTGCCCAAACGGGTGGACAACAGCACCATGCTGCGACGATGATGGTGGCCAATCTACTCAAACCCTACCCCTTAAGCGCAGCGGGCAAGAATGCGGTCGAACAGATTTCATGCCCAACGTTATTACAATGGATAAAGAGCTCTCGCTTCACGGAGCTCCCGTCTCACATGGGGAAATGTCCCCATGCTAGTCAGTGAGGAACTTGGATGTCCCTGGTCTGCACTAGGTGTCATGATCCACCTGGAAGCCGAATCTATTGGCCGCCAAAGAGGTATAGCAGTATAGAAACGCTACCATGCCATCGACGTCATTACACTGGAACACAATGCAGCACGTAAAAGCGGCAGGGGTGGAACTGTAGTCCGCCTCATTGTCAGCCAATAACGACATGCAAGAAGAAGACGTTGAGGAGAGGAGCCTACTCACTTTCTCTTTGAAACAGTTTATTGATTAATGGCGGTTGGAATGTCCCGATTGAGGATCCCTGCTCCTCAAGTGCGGAGAAGCTGCTCGAGCTGGAAAAGGTGGATGAGGCGGACGGGGTGGGCGACCAGGATCTGAGCTGGAGGCTTGCAATTCCCTCCCTGCCCTGGCATGAGCCCAACGCTGAATTCTCCGCCCACACGCAGGCAGTTCGGAGCACGAGCTACAAAGATCAGGCTACAAAATACGGGTGCTCAATGGGGTGATTTCAAAGGCGCGGCCGAGGGGTCAAAGCTGCATGGAAACGACTTTGGTCATGGAGGGTCAGCATTGCTTCTGATATGCTGGTACCTAGCCCATCGGCCACCCGGCACCACATCTCCGCGACCATTGACAAGGGCGGTAGAAGACTCGACTGCAGGAGAGAGGAGCTTCCTCGAAATGCATGGACGGGCTGCTCTGCTTGTCCTGGAAGTTATACCCTCCCTTCCATGAATCAGTTTGTGGTTGTGCTTGCTCTTGTGGAAGTACACTCAGCTCCAGCTGCATCGAGAAGGGGATGTTGTCGGCCGAGCCAACAGAGGGCCTTGATAGCAAATTTGCATCCACCTCTTTCTTACCCCTCCGAGCGAGAGCTCGAATTTGTGCAGACATCGACGGTCCTGACATCCCCTGTCTAGTCGACTGTCCGAAATGCTGGTGGGGGGTTTTGGTTCCAATGACCATCCTGGTCTTGTCCTGCTTGCTTCACTCATGGGCTTTTGCGATTTGGCCCTCCACCTAAAAGCGCCACGAACACGCTCGGGGCCTTCCCGAGTCTGCCGCTCTCAGGTTTGAGTAGGGGCAACGAACATACCAAGCTGTCCGCCTCGCCGCGTACCGACCTGCTGCTTGAGGCATCAGAGTTTGGAGGGATCCCTTGCCTTGCGGTCTTTTCCATGCAACCTTGTTCTCCTGCTAGACGTGGCACCCTCTTGAAATTGTGGACCTACATATACGGACTGCCTCTTTTCGTGGTGAGGGACTCAGAATCCCCTGGCAGGGCATGCGCCAATGACGTCGTGGGCGAGGGAGGAGAGAAGAGGAGAGGCGCTGGAAGGTGTGGGAGGACAGGCTCGGGTACGAGTAGACAGATACTCTGGGGTTAGGATAGAAACGAACAAAAGACTGGTTACAGAATTTGGTGAGGCTTTCCTGCTTTGTACTGCACAGGAAATCTACACTGAATCAAAGCGGATTAATGGATTGGGTGCAGTACGAGGTACATGGCAAGGACTGGGCAATTGGGTAACGACAACTAATGCTTCACCACCAACCCCGTTAAAACGTCATATTTCTCTTTCCCTGCTTTTTTGACACTGGTCTCAACCATAGAGATTGGAAGGGACCAGAAAAAAGTCTATAGCATGACTATTTTCCTGTCACAAGGAGTGCAAGACCTTTCTTCGCCTGCCCGATTGGGCTTCACGATCAGAACCAGGAGTCTCAGAGGTTCTCTTCCCCATACCCACCAAAGTACTCCGTATTGTGGGCGGCCTCGTCCTATTTGTCCTTTTTCCTTTATCTTGCCGCCGAGTCCTTCCCTTCCCGCCAACCACGACACCCGACACTCGTTTCGTGTGCCTGTTGGCTCCTCGTCATTTCTCTCCAGTACCTCTGGCGCTGCCCATATTCGGACAGGGAGTCGCCAAAGCCAACACTGGCGCAGCTGCCATCGTGGATCCCACCCCGAGTCAAGAGGAGGAAAGGCACTGCTGGGTGGCTACGACCTCCACTCAATCAAGTCCAATGCGAGCATCTGTCAATTCCTTACGGGCTTCCTATTACTTCTAACTCGCCAAACCCACCCAGCCAGTCTAGACATGCTCCTCTCCACGGACCCACGCCTTTGTCGCACAAGGAACAACTGAATTAGCCGACGTCCTCATTGCCCCCACGCATACGGAGTAGAATGCAATAATACACAATACCCGTCAGATTGTTTGGCTTTACTGTACAGTACCAAGGTGACAGGGGTTGCCCAAGGACAATAAATTCTGGGGCCGTTGGTCGTGCTGGTCTTGCTACTTACGCCACGACAATGGTGAGGGCCAGTCCCTTAACGACTCGCCCTTAAAACGGAGGGGCGAGCCATGCGATTGTGCAGATGGGAGATCCTATGGTCCGCAGGGAATCACTTGTGGCCTCAGATCACCCGCGTCATGCTCGGTCGCTAGCGGACCGTCCAGGAAGGGACGAGGCTAGCCGGAGCGCTGAAGCCTCTATTGCAGGTCTTCGCATCCGACTGATTTGGACTTATCCTCGAGTCAACCATTTGGCTCCGCTAGATTCGACGCCGCTCGGTATTTTTGCGAGTTTGCGTGGGGCTTATGAATCTCAACTGGTCCTGGTCTGGAGAGATGCCCCAGAGGGACACCAGGATTGGGACCTACCTGGTCGTGCAAGAGAGTCTGCATTTGTACAAATGGTTGCCCGTGGTATCCTAGTCTGTCTTCCTCCCTCCCCCATCTCGAAACATCCACGGAAGAACAACCGATTCTCGGCCTGCCCTTCGCTTCCTTGTCGTATACCTTTAGTGAAGCTGCGACACACAAAGAGGCCCCCTCCTTTCGGGTAACGATCTCGACTCACCAAAGCACCAATTTTTGCCCGCCCGGCGTTGACGCTACGGGGCAGCTCACAGTGGCGTGTCAAGGATTGAGAGAGAAATAAGGCGGGTCCAAGCGAAAGAAGGATTGGCAAGACGGTGCGATACACCCTGGACACGCCCCCAAAGCATGCCCTGTTCATCCCTACGCCTGCCTACAAGGTTTCCCCCCTCCTCAATACTAAACCCACTGCTAGCGGGCAGAGTTTGTGAGGGCCGTTCCTTTACCGGGCTGCCGCTAACCGTCCCTAAGCCGTTGCATAATAGGCTATAGGCTCGTCTGCCGCCCTGAAGTCCTTTAGTCTGCCACCTGCAGACGTGCGGATTGCGCTCGGAAGCCCTCCCAACGGCTCCCCTCAAAGCATATCGAGACTCTTTTTCTCTCAGTGGATTTCCAAAGCATAGACATCTGGAGGTGTGGGCACACATCCAGAACCACTACGCCTTGTGCAGCATCACAATCCAAACAAGGACAAAGCAATATCAGAAAGCAGCCCATACAGCAACCCTGTCCTAAGCACCTGCGGCCCAAGCTTCCACCACATAACGCCCCCTCGCGCCTTCAAAGCAAGCCCTAGTCGACTCTCTCCTTGAAGCCTGTCCGGGCCCCCCGGTCGACGTCCATCCCCAGTTCTGAACTTAACCTCAATTCGTCCAGCTTGAGCTCGTCTGCACAGTTGCAGACTGCCTGGGCCTCATCATCAGGTGTGCTCCCCACACACACACACACCTCGTTCAAGACGTTCCCTCTTTTATCATATGCTCGTGCTGCCCCCTCAAGCTTGATTTCAGGTCCACCTTCACGCCCCGTCGGTCTCTGAACACCCTCTGTACCTTGATCCTCTCTCTGAAGGTCTCAAGGCTCTGGGGGTCGTGCAAGCCAGGCTTCTGGGACCGCAGGCTACGTGTGTCGTGTGAGAGCATCACTGAGGATCAGTGGCATGCGTTATCAAATCATATTGGTGCCTCGGTCAGCATAGTATCACCCGTATAATTCGAACACCAATGCTGGTCCTGTTGAACATGCCACCAGAGAGTCAAGATTCGCAGCATACTGGCTATGGCCAAAATGGTTGGATAGGTGTTCCCAACAACATGCCAAATGGCATTCCAAATGGTTATTCCACCAGCCCTCAAACGACGATCTCGCCAATGCAGGAATTCCCGCAATTTGAGTACCACCACCAACACCAACATAACACGCCGATGCCTATGGAGCCGGCTTACCCTATACAACGACCTTCGCCATTTGCATCCTCGCATGCACCGATGCCACCGCCCCTCGTTATGCCGAACAACGTTTTGTGGCCAAGTATGCTGGCCAGTCAACCCCAGGGATCCTACCAGCCGTCAATTTTGCCTGCTGCACCAATGCAGACTCCATTGTCTGCAGGGTCAACATCTGATATGACACCAACTAGTGCCAAGACGAACACGTCTCGTCGCAAGTTGACGGACGAGGAACGTCGTCAGATGTGCATTGAGGCCGAGCAGAACCCGACCATGAAGCAGACCCAGATTGGAGGTACGTAACCGTCCTCGACTTCAGTGTTGGTTCTGACCCTGTCTAGCAAAGTTCAACGTGGAGAGGAGGTACGCTCGATACATTGTGCTGGTGGATTGTAACCCGAGGACTAATATTGTGTAGCACGGTGTCGAAGATTCTGCGACAGCGGGACAAGTACATGAATCCGC